GAGAGAGAGAGAGGAAACACTCTGAGAGGAGTAGATCAAGAGAGAAAGAGACGAAATTACCTCTTAAATCTTTTTAGCATCATAATTTTAAAATTAAAAAATTATATTAAAATATCCATGTATAATTATATAGTTATAGAAGTGAAACATATAGTTCTATTTATTCTAATATCATCGATTTTATCGATGAAAGCATAAAAATAATAAATAAAAAAATAATTTAAATATCTCAGTTATATTTTCGATGGTGACATACGATGGTGCTGCTGAGGGTTATAAGTGATTATTATGGTTAAAGAAAAAGAGTAATGACGAGATATGAGATAAAGGAAGACGAGAAAGACGTCGATACGGATGTCGATGCTTTGCATCTTTTGCGTCGACATCGCTTAACAACTGCGTCAACACCAACGTAGTTCTGCACCGATACAGTTGTCGAGCAATGCCAACGCAGAAGTAGAGCGTCGACATATGTATTATCTTCTTCCTCCTCTCTCTTAATTCACCTCTCGTCGTTACTTTCTTTCCTCATCCACAACAGTCACACATGGCCCCTAGTGACACCATTATCCACCACTACCAAAAATATAATTAAGATATTAAAATTATCTTTTTGTCCATCGTTTTGTGCTTCTATCGATAAATCGATGATATTAAAGTACATGGAACTAGATGTTTCATTTTTCAATATAATTTTTTTAAATCTAAGGATCATAATACTAAATAAGTCTAACTACATAAGAAGAATACATAATTAACCCGAAAGAGACAAATGCGTTAACCATCGATTGCATAGAAAGGTTGAGACACAATTGCTTTATTCACACGCTTATAGAAGTCTTTGATATACTGAACTAGGCTTTCTATTTCAATTAGGAAAACTGTGCTTGGCAGAGTCTAATTTAGAGTTCACAATGATATATAACCGTTATTTGGAGTACAAATTATTTGGAAGATAAGTTATAGAAAAATATCCATCGTCGCCAATGATATATATTGTTACGGTAAGTAACTTTTTCAGTTGTGACCTCGGGGTCGACGCGGCTGGTTCAGGGCTCCAAATGGCTGGGATCAGACGTGGCTCCTCTTGGGTGGTTGCGGTGGCTGCCACGGGGGCCGCTGGTCGAAAAGTTCCGTGGCGTCGGGCGGATTAAGTGGCGGTCGAGTACCTGCACACAGGTCGGGCCCGTTGCTCGGCCCGGCCCCTCCGACGATTAAGTTAGTGAAGCAGAATGGAGTATTTTTGTGAGATTGTCCCCCCCCTTCCTGTTGGGAGCCAGGGGGTATTTATAAGTGGGTTTGATGTTACCTGACGTGCCATCCTACCGAGGCGGGGCCGTACCTCTGATGGCGTCTGTCGTTGTGGTCGTTGCGTGGAAGGCCGAGCTGCCGCAGGGTATGGGGGGTGTCAGTCAGCGCCTTCCCCTGCCTTGACCGGCCACGAGGGGTCAGCCGAGGAGGTTGCTTGGGTATGGTGGGTGTAGGTGCGCGTCGTGTCGTCGTTAATGCTCGTTCAGGAGCCACGTGCCGCACAGGGTGTCCGGCGTGGGGGTGTATTACGTCAAATCCGGGGTGTTATATCAAATCATTTTTTTTACCCCTATCATATGCCCCACCCGAAAGGAGTTATGCGTCGGTTTTTCAGGTAGGGAGTCTGATGCATGGCTTTCTGCTTCAAGCGAGCTGTTCAGGCGGGCCTGAGGGGCGCGCCGTAGACGGGTCGGCCGCGTGAATGCATCTCAGGCAGCACTAGGCCGAGACGCGTGACTTAGTCGGGAGGTTGAGGAGGATTGGACTCGGGGGTAATGGAGCCGACGAGGGTCGAGGTGCGCAATGCAAGCGGGGTGACTGCGCAGGTGTGTCTCGGGAGGCGGA